GCATGGTGTTGTTCTGCACTTCTGACTCCCACATCTCTGACATCTGAGTGCTCCTACACAGCAAAGACCACACAAATATCTGTGTGTATGGCCTGCATTTGCAGGTTTGGTCAAATAACAAGACTCCCAAAAATTAGCAGTTTGTCCCATCCTTTTGTATTTAATCACCTGAACACACACTTTTTTTTTTTTGGTGGGGGGAAGGGGGGCTCCAAGACAGAGGGTTTTTTGTTTTTTGCTTTTGGTGTGTGTGTGTGTCTGTGTGTCTGTGTGTGTGTGTAAAACCCTGGCTGTCCTGGACCTTACTGTATAGACCAGGCTGGCCTCAAACTCAGAGATCTACCTGCCCCTGACTCCTGAGTGCTGGGATTAAAGACATGTGCTACCACTGCCCAGTCACACAAAATATTTTTAACCGTCAAATATACTTTTCTAAATTCTAGTAAGAAACTTGGATTTTTGGAATTTGGGTAGGGGTGGAAGTACTTGTGCCATGGTGCTTATGTGGAGGTCAGAGGATAACTTAAAGGAGTTGATTCTCTCCTTCCATCGTGTGGCTTTGTCATCTCACCAGCCCAAATTAAATGGAATTAAATGGAATTAAATGGAATTTTTTTAATGGAAAAGGTTTTTTGGTGGGAGGGAGATAAGCCCCTAAACTACTGTTCTGAATAAAGGAATGTTAATTTTTTTTCTGAAAACATTATTTTAAACAGTATTGTGAAAGATATTTTTAATATTGTTTCCTAAAATAAAATGCTATATGTAGTACCAAACTGATGATGATACCTTTTATCTTCGTTAGTTTTCTGGTTTTTTTCACATCCCCTGCTTCAAGAAGCTCTGGTATCATTATTTAATTCTGTATTAAATGAGAAATGTAATACATCATCATGTACTTCAGAGGCATCTGTACTTTGCATTCTCTAAAGCTGATAGACTGGCTTCACATTTGTTAACATCTTTTTGTCTGCCATGTAGTCGTAATCTTGCTGTGACTTGGAGTGGATTCTGCTTGAGTAGAGCAGGGTTAGCACTTCAGTCATGGTCTTCGAAACTGAGTCCTGTCTTTAGTGAATCTGTCTTTGCTTATTGCTTTTTTCAATTGCCACAGGCCCAGAAGGCTGTGAATCCAGTAAAATGTTTTGTGTATGTAATAGAATTTTAAACCATTTCCCTTTTCTCAAACAGACATTTTAGTTTTAGTTTATCTGGGCAAGTCAGAATTTATGTGGCCTTACTCCTCCTGTAACAGAAATACAGTCTCTGAATTCCCTTCTTCCTGTGATCCGTCACTTGTTTCAGGTTAATGTCATACCTTTATTAAGTTGAGGCTAATTAGAGGGCTATTGGTGTCTCAGGGCTAGAAAGTGATTTGGAAGTTGTCTTGATGTGTGCATATAGTCACCTTTAAGTTACCCAGTGTGACAGATGTGGATGTTGACATCATTTTATTTCTTTGCCCCAAATGTCAGCAGTAATCCATCTCTAGGCTTAAGTGAGTATCCTGAGATGAAGCTGTAACCAGAGTCCTAGGCCAGAGGTATGATGGGGTGGACAGTGAGTGGTGTCCCCCAGGAATTAGGTCCCGCCACTCACACTTAACAACGCAAACAAAGTCGAAGGCAGGGAAGGATTTGAGCCACTGAGGCCTTGTTGTAAAGATAGAGGTTGGGTTTCCCAGTCCAGTGTCAGGACATTGACATGAGCCTAGATCCAGACAGGAAACACTGGAGTAGAAGGTTTGGCCAAACTGTAGTCTGGCTGTTCACTGTCTCCAGTACTTAAGAGGCTGTCTGGTTCCCCTGAGGTGATTCTTCGTGCTTTGGTTGGGAGAGGGACAGCCTCAGTTTACATTGTGGGGCAATTGTTCCCATTTAGAAGTGTTCTCATTATGAGGTGATCTCTGTTTCTGGAATCCTTGGGAACTACAGCTTTAGGACAGTGAATGAAGACTTTTAGAGGCTTTTCAGGGATTTGAACAGGACTTTGTAAAAGCTGACAGTAAACATCACTATTATTATGTCTGTGCCTCAGCGCTGAATTAGGGTGAGGTAGATTAGATAAATTTGGGACTAATCAACTTTGTCTCACTAATTTTAGATAGTATGCTTATGTTCAGAGCTAATAAGACTCTGAACCAAGATAAAACAGACACAAAAGATGCTGGACTTTTACCTCACTTTTAATATTTGAGCGAGGTGTTTCTAAATACTTGTTCTGTAACCGTAGGTAAGTGAATCTACAGGCAGCAGCCAGTGGTAAAGGGTCTTACCTGAGGCTGAATTGGTTTTGTTATTGAATTATAAGCTGTTTCTAAGTGGAGATTTAAATAAAAATAGGTTGAAAAGTAAGCTCACTGAAGGCAGTGAATACATACCTATACAAATGTCTGTCAGCTAGGACCTCCACACTGAAATATGACTCAGCAGTGCAATATGGTAGCCACTGTCTAGGCTGCAGCGTGGGAGGTTGTCAGTGTCGTGCTAGGAGGAAGAGCTCTGACACAAGTGAGGCTGCAGGGTTCTGTTTTCAGAACAGAACGTCTGGGCCAGCTGTGGTTGCAAACGCCTTTAGTTCTGCAGTTGGGAAACAGAGGAACAGAGGCAGGCAAATATCTGAGTAGGTGGCTAGCCTGATCTACATAACAAGTTCTGGGACAGCCAGTACTGCGTAGAGAGACCTGTTGCTGTGAGAACTAACCTTCAGCAGCTCAAGGATTAAGAGAGAGCCATGGAGTTAACGAACTAATCAATTTGACTTTTCTGTCTGAGGGAGTAAAACTGAATTCTGTGGGCCCTGCAAGCAGGGCAAACTTAACTCTCTGGGGCCAGTGAAAAAGGGAAACACGCATGCACGCACGCATGCTTTCAGGATCTATCATCTCTCTTCTCTCATTTCTTTTCTTACCTATGTGTCTTTTTAAACTTTAAATTGTTCTCCAAGATTTTCTACCTTGACACTATTAACAAAAACATCTTAATCTAACTTAATTCATAACTTAAAGCTTTTTTTTCCTAAAATGCACACAGAAACCCGTGAACACATTTCTCCACACTAAGATTTTAAGAACTTCAGCTAACTTAACTTCTGGAACGCAATTGTTTTTCTTTTCATTAACCTAAGCCACAGTCTATATAGCTTTTTAAGAGAAACCTGTAAGTCCTACCTGTGTGACACTTTCTTGTTCTTATTTTCTGTCCTCTGCAGCCCCTGCTTTATGGGGGAGGGGGCAGCAACATTAGATCCTACCTTTACCTATATTAATTTTTCCACTAAAATAACCTCTATCATAATTCCTTACTATATTTATTAAATTTCTTTATTCAACAAAAGTGGTATTTCAACTAACATTATTATTGTATAAAATTGTTACTTCACTTAAACAGAACAGGTTAAGAGGAAATCATCTTCATAATAATCTACAGGTGAAAATACTCAGTAGAATGGGCTATTTCTATTAGATAATCATACTATATTAAAGGCACTGGGGCTCCCTCCCAAACCCATTCACACCATGCCAGGTACCAGAGAACAATGGCAGTGCCAAACATGTAAAGGCACAACAGTAGCAAGAGACATTCCGGGGCCAATGACCTTGGGGCCTTGCTTATCCAAGATTCACCCATCAGTGCCTTGCCTTTTGGTGAGCCATTCTCCTGAAATCAGTTTCCACCTGCTGCTCCTCTGACATGGCTTCCAGCAGAGACTCTTTCTTTAGAAAACAAACCAACAAAAACGCAGCTAAACTGGATTTTCCTGTCCCTCAGTCACTCTCAAATAAACACACTGGGGCGTATATTTATTATAAATGCTCAGGCTTATTACTAACTAGCTTTTACAACTTAAATTAGCCCATTTCTATTAATCTATGTATTGCCACATGGCTGGTGGCTTTACCTGTCTTCCAGCATGTCTTACTCCCTCTGTGTCTCTCAGTGACTCCACTGGCCCCGCCCTTTTTCCTCCCAACATACTGTTTGGTTGTCCCACCTATACTTCCTGTCTGCCTACTGGCCAGTCAGTTCTTTATTAACCAATGAGACTAATATATATCCACAGCAGACAGAAGGATTTTATTCCACAGCACTAAACAACAGAAAAAAATAAAATGGAAACTATGGAGCTTAGAATTTAGCTCACTTGGTAGAGCTCACACATGTTCAAGGTTCTGGGTTCAGTTTTAGCACTATGTAGTGCCTATAATTTCAGCACTAAAGGAGGTAGAGATAGGAGGATTAGAAGTTTGGTGTCATTGTTGGCTACATAACAAGTTCTAGGCCAGCCTGGGCTATATGAGACCTTGTAATTAAAAAAAAACTGGGGAAGGAGAGGCCTGCTGTTGCCATTGCCTGTGGTGAAAAGGAAGTATTTACTGTAAGGGGTACAGGTGTCTGAAAGGGTTGGAAATGGTCTAAGTCATTACTTCAGTGGTGATTACATAAATGTATAAAATTTTCAGCATTCACCACGTTGTACACATTTAAAATTGGTGATGGTTATTATATAAGTTATGCTTCAAATGAAAACAGTGGATAAACATACCCAAGGGACTCACTTTTAGTGAACCTTGAGTTCTACTTCACCTGGGGAAAGTAGCCTTTTTAACCTTCTCATTTGGAAAGCCTTGGCGGGGGCAGTTTTTAAAATTACATTTATTTATTTATTTATTTATTTACTTACTTATTTTGTGTTGTATGTATGTGAGTGCATATGTAGAAGTCAGAGGGTCTCTTATTGAAGTCTGTTCTGTCCTTCATTGGGTAGGTTCCTGGAATCGAACTCAGTTTTTCACGTGTGGTAGCAAGCGCCTTTACCCACTGAACCATCATGCTGGCCCTGGAAGAGTTTGCTGTTAATAATATACTAATGATCTATGTTTTCATGGTGATCTCTAAAGTGAGGATTCCTAAGCTGTGTTTTTATGGGACAGTAAATGATCCACTTGCTTTGTGATCTCATTGCATTTTTGCCTTTTCTTTACCTCTTTCCCAACCTAGAAAAATTAATCGAGGGACTCAAATCTCCTGATACTTCTCTTCTGCTCCCTGACCTCTTGCCTATGACAGATCCTTTCGGCAGCACTTCTGATGCTGTGACTGGTAAAATCCCCGTCTGCTCCTTTAGTCATGCGTGTGTGTGTGTGTGTGTGTGTGTGTGTGTGCATGCGCGCGCGCCTGCACACGGGGGGGGGGGGGGGGGGGGGCAGAAGTATCCTGAGTAGCCCTTGTACATGGTTGGAAGCCAGCAGTCAAGGCTGTTGATTCTGTTCAGCTAGTCCAAATGAAGTATCGTTTTCTGCTTCCCATGTGCACAACCTGTAACTCCGGTCTTTACTGATGTCCTGTGATTTCTCCAGTAAATTTCTTAAGAATAAGGAAGAATATGGGAAAACCAAACCTTTGTGAAACAGTTGGTTTCTAATTGGCCCTGGGAGCTTCACTGAACTTAATAGAGTTGAGCTGATTCTTCTTTAGGTCAGTGCTTGTAACTAACACCTGTACCAGGAAGTCTGCCTCACATTTCAGCCCCATGGTAGACCAGGGCAATTAATAGCTGGGTCTGCTTACTCTGTTATACTTTTTATGCTGTATAAGCAAAACATATAAAATGTCTAGACTCCTGGAAGGTTCCATCAGTAGACTTTAGATAAGAAATGCCAGCGCTCAGGAATGCCGTAGCCTCCATCCATGAGACATTACAACGTGCAGAGCGCTTCTCTGTAACATCATGGGATAGGGTGGGGCACATTTGACGGTTGTGCATTATACGGGAGGATGTTTACCCCAAAGCTAGCCCATTAGAGGGAAAAAATGCCCAATTGTGAATAAAGTTTTCTTCGTTGTTGGCTTTTTGAAGTAGAGCATTACACCTTGTAGCCAGGCTTGCCTCAGACTCACAGCAGTCCTCTTGTCTCAGCCTCTGTGGTTGTTGGATTACAGGTGTGAGCCACCATTGCCTGTCTTGAAGACACTCTTTTCTGACATGGGAGAATCTGCTGCTTGAAAGTTGCTTGTATCCCACACTTATTTGTAGGAGCTGATGATCATTGCACCTCCCTGTTTGTTAGCCTTGAACACGCATGCTCAGTCATCAGTGGCAGGCAGACAGTGGTAGAGATAAGCTGTGCTCTGCAGCTTGCCTGAGACTTGTGGAAGCAAGCCTTCACAGGTTTTCCTGAGCAGCACCTGACTTCTTTTTCTTGCCCTTTCCTCCCCACTGTTAATGCCCCTGATACAAAAGAAAAGGCCGATGCTGCTGTTGAGAGTCTCATACCTGGACTGGAGCCGCCTGTTGCTCAGCGCCTCCCATCTCAGACGGAGTCTGTGACCTCAAACCGCACAGGTCAGTCACAGAGCTGGTCAATGCAGTAACCTCAGAGCAGGTCTTCCCACTAGTGACATTCTGGTTGGTTTCACACTGGATGCAATGAATTGTTCTTACAGTCCTAACTTCTGGATTGAGTGTGTTCTTGTGCTGAAAACAGTACTTTTTGGAGCCATGTTTTTCTTAAGAGTAACTCCTGGGCTTGCTCTAATGACAGAATTTTATTATTCAATATTCTTTCCCCAGGCCTGGGGATATAGCACAGTGACAGAGTGCTTGCATATTGCATATCAATCAATCCCTAACACCAGAAAGGGTAAAAAAAGATTCTCTTCACTGGTGGCAGGTTCCCTCTACCTCTTTAATACTAGTCTGCTTAGATACACTGTTGCCTTAACCCTTCCAACTGTTAGGCAGACGTCTTCAATCTCACCGTACACAGTCCTGGCATGCGGATCTATGGCGCTCATCTCCTGCTGTTGATTTTTTCCCAGAGCAGGGCTTCGCCATCTAGAGGTGATTTTCATTTCACTTTTAGGCAGAATTGAAATTGTCCTTGGATCCAGCGTTGCTTTCGCTCTTATTTGAAAATTTCATTCTTTGTACAAGTCCTTAGCCACACACAAATAAATCTGATTGCATTTGTTTTAGTGAGCCCTAATTACCTTAATAAGACTCTCTGAGTGCCTTAGAGAGATAATAAGTTAATGCTTGGGGAAAATCTCACCCAAAGGCACCATGGTTCCTCTTATTGGCCCTCATTTGGATGTTTTCTCTCAGGAAACACTCCCAGCTCAAATGTTTCATCTCTAAATTTTACCTTCCTTAATTCTTTAGATAAAAGAATACACTATTTTCAAAGGAGAATTAAATTTAAAGAATAAAAGGCATTTTGAATGGGAACGTGGGCGTGGCATGGAGGGTTCCTTCCTGATCAATTTCAGCACTTCGCTATGTTGTAATTTTCTTCTTGAGTGGGGAATAGTTAAGTGAAATTCTAGTTACAAAGTTCTTTTTCCAAATGATGTTTGCTGAGAACTGGGTTGTTAAGTTGTGTTGACATGTGAATCACAAACTTGTTTGATCAGTGGCTTCTAAACTAAAAAATCTTATATTTATGTTTGCTACCAAGTAGAATCTAGGATGCATGTTTTTGTGGTTAGAAGTTCAGAAAGCTTAGCATGTTTCTTTAGATTTTCTTTTTACACCTTGGCTTGTACATGTGGCCTTTAATGCTCTAATTTAAAAGTCAAGATAGAACCTCACAATATTGTTGTGTGCTGTTTAATGCCGCCATTGCGGGGATGCTGGTCACTGGACTCAGACTCTCTCACTGGGGACGACTCTCTGCTTGACTGCTCTCTGCTTTCTAACCCCACTGCTGACCTTCTGGAAGAGTTCGCCCCCATAGCACTCTCTGCTCCCACTCACAAAGGTAAAGTCTTTCTTGGGCCCACATGTATTTTGGGGAGTTCCCCTTATCAAAAGCTGTCCACTTCTATGGAAAATATGGGTTTGTATCCTTAGCCACTGTTACAGTTCTTCTCAGAGTAGTGAATAAGCCCTAGCAACTACAGATAGGGATAGGGTTCACTTTCTGACAACAACTAGGATACAGATATTCCATGTTAGCTTTGCTAGCCCCGTGCCTTAAGGAACGCATAAATGAGTGAGCCAACTGATTGATTGTGATTATTAATATGATACTCATCGGCCTTGGAAAGTAAAGTCATTTCATCAAATCTGAGTCAAGGTTTTTAACCTCAAAAATAATTCCTCAAAAACTGAACTTGTGAAAGTTTTGAATATTATTTTGTCTTTGAGTCATTATTGTTTACTGAGTTTCTGGCTCTAACCTGTCATTTTCACTTCTTAGTCTTGGCTTGGTTTGGTTTGAGATTTTGCAGGCAGAGTAGATTGGTTTGGGCTCTGAGGTCTATTGTAGTGATAGCTCACTTGCACATGGCAAACTTATTTCTGTGTTTGAGGAGTATTAGCAGGTTAAGCCCTTTGCAAAGGAAATTCAAGAAGGAATCCTCCAGAGCTGACTAAAATCAATGAGCTCATGGGTAGCAGTGAAGATTGCTGGTTCTGTTTTACAGCTGGCACAGGAAGTTACCTGTATAGCCATTGACGGCTGGCAGGAATGTGTTAGTGGCAATGCGTAACCACAGGGAAGCATTGTCTGCCAAATAAGTGCTAGCTAGCATTTGCTGGGGCATGGCTTTAGTTAGAATGGATAATGTGCTGGGTGTGGTGGCATGTGCCTTTAACCCCAGCACTGGGAAGGCAGGGGCAGGCTGATTTCTCTGAGTTCCAGGGCAACTGGAGCTACATAATGAGAAACTGCCTCAAGCAAAACAAACGAACAACAACCACAAAAAAAAAATGGGGGGGAGGGATAGTCTAAGAAACTTAGGCTGGCGTCTTTTGTACCCCGGTATTCTGAATTATTTAAGTCTTTTTTTTACAGAGCAGGGAGTCTTGACATTTTGCTTGCCTTGTACATACTGGTTACTTCTCTTTCGTTGTTGGTTTTGAGTCATGGGTCCAACTCAGGACCTTGCACTTACTAGAACGCACACACTCTACCACCAAACTGTGCCCCAGCCTCTGCATGGTTGCTCCTTTCTCATCTCCTGCCCCAGGCTTTTAGTGTTTCAGGTGTTGTTAGTCAGGTGTTGACTCAATAAAGATAGTGGCATTTCAGAGTTAACTTCACAACTGTGTATGGTCTTCTACAGAGTAGAGATTTCTTCTAATAGTACATTTCTTAACCATTTATAAAATCTTGACATTGTGAGTTCTAAAGATTATTGCTTCTATATACCTGTATTTTCCAGTTTTCTACTTTTATTTCAACTCAGAAAAATAAGTGCTTTTATCTTTAAGAACAGTGATTGTTCATGGCTGAAGGCATGGTGCCTCCTTCCTGTTCTCTCATTTGCTAATCTCTTCTTCTGTTGTTTCTGCTTGTGTGCTTGCATTCTGTATTAAGCTGCAGAAGATAGTAATCTCATCTCAGGTTTCGGTGTCGCTGAGGGCTCGGAAAAGGTGGCAGAAGATGAGTTTGACCCTATTCCTGTACTGATAACCAAAAACACACAAGGTAAGAAAGAGACTGGAGAAAAAAGAAGAGCTTAACATCATTTGTCATCAAAACACTGTCCCTAGCCTGGATGGTAGATAGGAGCATTGCCATTTAGTGAAGGACACTGGATGATAGCCGTCAGTGTAGGCTGGATCAAGATGAGAGGCAGATGGAGATGCTGATGTATGTAGCTTAAAACCTTGTTGACTTGGGGTTTATTTAGAGAAGATTTAGTTTTTATGAAATGTCAAGCCAAAAAGAAAGTGCTTTCTAATTGGTAGAAGCCTCAAGGTATATGTCAGAACTGTTGAACATTTTTGTCATAGTTAGAAAATCTACTGTAATAGATGTTCTTTCCAGAAAGCTAACAGTGGTGTTTTGGTGTCTGCTGCATCAGTAGACTTTATGGACCATTCTTTTCATCTTTGGTGGAGCATTTGAGCATGCACAGAATGCTGAAACACATCACATAGTTATTTTTAAAAGCATGTTCTTACTGTAGTGTCCTAATAACTAATTCTCCCCAAAGCAGGAATTGATCTGTACTTTTTAGGGATATGGCTTGCTGTTGGGAGGTTAGTGGACAGCCAGAACTTCTTAGGCAAATGGGTTGGTTTGGCACCAGTGGCATCTCTGAAGTGTTCTGCATCTACTATGGTGTGCCTGGAATGAACTTCTGGTGGGAGGTGGTGGCTAGCCAGTAGTTATGTTTAGAAATCAACATGTAAGACTTTTAAATGTGAAATGTTGCTTCTCTGGATTTCTTGGTTTTTCTTTTTCTCCTTTGCTTGCTCTGCACATCTAACCCTAACCCTCTGTGTTTTGTACTGAATCCTATCTTTCCACTTCCAGGTGGGCACTCTAGAAACAGCAGTGGGAGCTCTGAGTCCAGTCTTCCCAACCTAGCCAGGTCTTTGCTGCTGGTGGATCAGCTCATAGACCTGTAGCCGTGAGCCAATAACAGACGCAGTTCTGTAACCTTCATGCCGTAATACACATTTTCATTACGGAGTTATGAGAAAAATGATTTTTTTTTAAAAAAATCTGCAAATTAGGGGCCCTTAAGCCCCTTCTCCTACCCCTTGCCTTCTCCTATAGAAGTGATAAGGAAAGAAAAATCTTTGATCCTCCAGATTCGTTCCTTGGCCGGCTCCTCTTGTTAGTTTGCTGTGTTTTCTCATTCCCCATCTTCAATAGCATTATTGTAACTCAAGTGCTAGCTGCCCTGAGCTTCACCTCTGCTGGAATCCACTCAGAAGCTTGACTGTCACTGAGCCTGTAACGGACACCTTGTCTCATTCTTGCTAGGAATGGCCCCATGTCAGTCCTATAGCCCGTCTCCCAGATGCTGATGAATGTGTCCATTCTTGCTTTTTATTCCTGATGCAGTATCATGAGGACATGACAGCTATGGCTGGTCTTACCCCCAGGCAGTAGTCTGGAGACATGTGTGCAGTTTAAACAGGACAAAACTCATAAGCTGTGTTTGTGAAGAGAAATTGAGCTCAGCTCTAGCCAGCCAACTTTGACCAAGTGATCTTACGCTCATGCAATCTTCCCAGATGTCTAGTTGTCTAGCTATCTGACTTCCATTGAATCGTGATTTCTCAAATCTGGAGGCATGACTGCAAGTGCTTGAGATCCTTGAATAAATGTGTATGTGATAGAAATACTAAGCATTGCCATCCTTCCATGTTACCTGGCCCAAGCTGGGATCTCAGAATTAGACCAAAACAAGACAGTGGTGGGAACATGATACCTTTTACTAGAAGACTTTTCATGGGGGAGGGGGGTGGATGGGGAAGGGAAGGAATTGTAGCAAAAACAGATGTATTTTTCTTGTGATTTTTTTATTTTGAATCAAATATTGTAAATTGTGTATAAATGAAGATGCTGACTAGTTCTGTTTCCACTTGGCATTTCAAGTCTGATATCAGGTGTCTGTACAGGGTTTTGATCTTTTTTGCTTGTATACAACATAGCAGTCCTATAGTGTAACACATGGAAATGTTTTACGTAGAGTGTATGTCTTGCTCTAAGCTCTCAGCAGGCCTCTGTCTCTGTAGAACAAGCATGTTTTTTATTTTCAGATAATCAGAGATGAGTGTGCTGGGCACAGTTTGACTGTGGCCACTCACCTCCTCTGGTGTTTAACTAGAAGGCTAACGCTGATGGAATATGTGCAATTGGCTTTCCATGGCTTCCTAGAGTTCAAAAACCAAACAAAGAGTAGCTCTTCACTAACCTTAGACTGTTGTTCATAGATTTAAATAAAGACCCCTGCACTCGCACTACATGCTCCCCCGTCACCCCTGTGGGCTTACTCATCAAGGTGTGTTTCATTTCCTTATGTTGAGAGCGTTTGTAAACTTCCCCTGTGGAAGAGGAGTGGTCACAGAGAACCCCTTCCTCGATGCCATCCTCCAGGGCTGATTTGTACAGACAAAACCCCAGATCTCTGCTTGTTCTCTACTACTGCTTTGTTTCTTGCTCACATTTGCACTTTAAGTGGTGGGGATCCAGCAGCAGGAGCCTGCAAGCCTGCCATCTGGAGGGCCACCGTTGTCTCCAGCAGTGTGACAGCGGGAAGAGTGGACGCTCAGTCTTCCTTCCTGTGCCAGCTGAACCTAGACGCGCTGAGGAAAGGCCTGTGCTAGAAGACGTGGTTTCCACAGGCGAGCGAGGCACAGTGTGCAGCTGAGGATGGAGGAGATGTCACGACAAGCTCTTCACGGTGGGCTGCAGGGAAGCAGGACTTGGTTACCCCCTTGGTGGACAGGAAATGGTTGTGTCCTCTTTGCTGGACATAGAAAGAATGTATAAACTAATGAAGGAAATGTTTATTTTTAAATAAGGCTAATGTTTTAGGTCTGTGTTTTTATATTTTTTTCTCATGAAAACGTTAGCAATATAATGAAATGTCTACTTTCTCAGTTTAATTGCAGTCATGAAGGGTGCAGTCTAGAAATTAGGTTAAGTGTCTCTAAACCATTCTTTCATGCGTCACCCGTAATTATATTGAGATATATTGTGTAGTCATTTGACTCAGTGAGGCTTAATGGAGACACTAACGAAAACCGACAGACTCTCTCCAAGGAAGATAATGTCTGGGTGAGATATTGACAGGAGACCTAGGCTGATCCTTCAGGAGTAAGGCTTAGGCTTCCTGTTGAGAAATCCATTCTAGTAACTTGGTCAGCACAGCCTTCCTTTGCATCATCCTAAGCTGAGGGAGTGGCTTAAGAAGAGCATGGAGTGTGGTAACTGGAGATGCACAGAACGAGACTGCTATACGAGGGGCTTCAGAGACTGTCCACTAGTCCATTTACTTCATCTCACCAGGGTGGTCCAGACCCTGGCTTATGACCTTGAACAGGCATTTTACCCCTCAGAACTGGTATTGGATTTTTACCCAGGATGGTTTTGGATAGGTAATGTCTGAGTCAGTAGAAGCATGGCATTGTAATGGTGTTGTATTTAGAAGGACTATGAAGGGTCATATAATCCGGATGTCCTTCAGGTAACTTCTGTGCTCTTGCCATTCCTACAGCTTTCGTCAGCATTTACTCACAGAGGATTAGAATGAGCAGTTTTTAATCTTGTTGCTACTTGCTGTTACCTGGATAAAAGCCCACATCATTGAAAGTTTGGAGATAGATTTTCCTTCTGTAATATTAAACATACACAATCTTACCTATTAGAGTAAAACAGAATCCGGAGATTTCTATTATTTTAATCTGTGTTTAAAATATAGGCAAATACAATGTGCATATTTTTTATTCTCTCTGCTGAGTGGAAGTAATTACTGTACCAGAAAGTATCACAAATTGGTATCCCTCCCCCAAGATAACCAAATTTAATTCCTAAAGTTTCTAAAAATATGATCCTTAGAGGAGATGAGGCTTAAGCAGTCACTTCTAAGTAGTATTATAATTGTTACAGTGATTCCTGAAGTAGACAGATCAGAAATGTTTTGTGTGTTTGATTGTTCCCTCTTGGAAACAATATTTTGCTTGGGAAGTGAATGCTAATCCTAGCAAGGCAGGCCAGTATCATCTGAGTTGTTTTTAAGCTCTTGTCCTTAGACATAACATTGCCAGATAAGGTAGAAAGAATATAGCTGTTTTCTTAGTACCCTCACTCACAGCATCCACAAGTATATTCTTTCTTATGTTTTCTCTCCGACACCTTTGCCTCAGAGGAACACTGAGTATTCCAAACACAAGATCACTCTTATCAGAGTGAAACTCCATAGGCAGTTCCTAAAGGAGACTTCATAACTGAGAGAGATTTCACCAACACTGAGTAAGGGAAGGTTTTCAGTTCCCTGGTCTTTAGGAAATTTAAAGATACAGGTTTTTGAAACTCCTCTGAAAGAGGTTGTCACTGTGCTCATTGGCATTTCACGTTGTACATGACTCCTCCTGATCAAATTGGAGTTCTAGAACTTGGATTTCTAATAACTGGAAGAATACAAACCAAAAGGGAACCTGTTTTTCATAAGATGTGATATTTTGTGGTTTGCAGTTCTCATTTTCGGTATAAGTGTTTTGATTCAAACCAGCATAGCCTTCCCTCAGGTCAGGATTAGTTCTGTCTTCAGCAGTGCCCTGGGAATGAGGAGACCTTTGTGATGGGCATAGGGGCCCATGCTCAGGGAACAAATAAATGCTGTAGACACCCTAGGCCGAGCTAAAATCTGTAACAAGGTTCCTCTGGCATCAAGAGTCTTTAACCTTCCTGGTCTGTTGTCACTGTCATGGAGTTTGGGGATGTGAATGGCAGCATCACCCAGAAGACTGAGTTAAGTAAATCAGAGGCTGCCTGACCGAATGTTTAGAGTGGGTGTTTAGTGAAACACTTCAGATACTGCAAACTAATTTCTATCCCTCTCTAGAGACTAATTTTACCAGTGCAGAATTAGACCTCTCCTTTCCACAATGATAATGTTCCCCAAGTTGGATGTGCTTGGCTTTTGTGAACTGAATGAATCCCTGATGGCCTTTATTTCAGTCTGTAACAAGATATCCTATGTAGTTTCCCCTGGGTTTCCTTTCACTAAGTGGGAGGGAGAAGGCCTGGAGGCTGCTGGGTAATGCTAATTCATGCAGAGTTCCCAAAGGGTGACAGTTGCTAGGAGGGAAGTCCTTCCTTGATTCTCACTTTGATGCAGTGTCCTGAATTCACGTTGGTGGGTATTCTCTTCTGCCTTGTTGTACACACCGTTGTCACCTGGATGGGTTCTTACTTAGAGCAGAGTGATGTAATGAAGCTATCTTGTGCAGTAAAATGTGAAAAACGAACACTGCTTCGCGAGTATTGTATAAATAAGTCTGTAAACAAATTTCTTATGTAAACATACAGAGGAATAAAGCTTTTATCTGTTCAAACGAGTGCATGATGTTTAGATGTATAAATAGCTTAAGGTAGCTGTTATATTCCTGCAGAAATATAACAAGGACTTGAGCACATTCTTTAGTGGCTGCAAATACCAGGGACTAGAAAAGTATGGGCAGCTGTGCAAGATGTCCTGAGGAAGGGACAGTGGACACCTGTGAGATGTCCCTAGGTTTGATGAGCTATGACCATCTTAGAGAAAGAAGATGGTCAAGAATGAGAAACCTGCAAACACACATTAGCCAGGGCCATACCTAGGTGACAGAATAGCACTGATTTGCAGCTGCCCTCCTCTAATTTAGTCTTTCATCCACCCAGGCTAATTGAATTAAACACTAGGATGGCAAGAATATATTTATGCCCAGTGAGAAATGCTTCCTTTTATTCTGCCTGGCATCCAGTTGTGGGCTTTCCTGCTGCTGCCTAGCATAAGGGATAAGCAGATGCTCAAGCTCATGATGAACACTGAAGGTTGTAGGAACTACAGGCTACTGAGACTGTGGTTCCTGCGTGTGGTTCTGAGACAACCAAATTTCAACTGATGCCCCACATCGCGTCAGGGTGCTTTTCAGTCTGCGTGTATGAGACACGCGAGCCGAGCCGTTACTTCAGAACTGTGGCAAGAATTTGTCACTGATGTTTCCTGTCACCATTATTTTCTGTTACAGTGTAGACATACTATACTAAAGAGTATCCAGCCTGAAATTTAAATTTCAGATTTGGGGCCAACCAGATGACTCTTTGGGTAAAAGTGCCTGTGCCAAGCCTAATGACCGGAGATGGAGCCCATGGGGTGGAAGGAGAGGATTGACTTGTGCAAACTGTCCTGTGACCTCTACTTGAAAACTGAGGCACATGCTTATGTGTGCACACACAGTAATAACATTTTTTTTTTCTAATCTTAGATTTTGCTTCTCTAGAGAGCACTCTGATGACCTCACTGTCAGTCAGATAGCATTTTGGGGTCAGTCATCCTCAAGAATGCCACACTTTGACTTCTGGGATAATTCAGAGGATGGTGAGGATAATTCCCCAGGGTGTGCGAGTTCTACTGAAATTTGTGTTAACTTACTCAAAATGGAGCCAGATGGAGTCATTTCTAGAAGTTTTGAAAACAAAAGGAGACATAATCCAGTCTGAGGGAATTATAAGAGAATGCCTTATGATGAACAGAAGCCTTGTACACTCTGAGGCCAAGTCCTGGACTAGGAGAACAGGCTAGGTTTTTTTTTTTTTTTTTTTTTTTTTTTTTAAGTTCTTTGCTTACAAAGTATCTGCTGTGGCTGTCATTGATAGCCATGTAACTCGACCAAGGCATGAGGGTAAGTTGGGTGGATCCCTAGGAGGCGGCTGCTTCAGAGGTAGTCTGCCATTGGCTCAAGGCCCTTTCACTGCCAGAAAGAGTTCTGAGTCTTCCCCGCTGCCACCACCAGGTCTCTCCGGAGTCACACAGGCATGTAGGGCCTCCATATTCTTTAGGATTTCTTTGGCCATCAAAGTGCTAGGCCTGGTCACTCTCCCTTAGTCACACTTCACCTCCAAGAAAGGTTGGGAGACAGACTTTTCAGGAAAGCCCCATTAGATGTGCTTTTCCAGCCTGAAGAAGATTCGCAATGAGATGGAGGAAATAGCTGTGATCTTTCTTTTAAACGGTGAGAGACTGGTGCTCCCTTCAGACTTGATGTTGTGGTGTTTTATAACTCCAACCTTTTTTTTTTTTTTAAAGCAAGTTCTCACTCTGTAACTGACTGTATAGATCAGGCTGGCCTCGGCCATACAGAGATCCATCTTCCTTGGCTTTCTGAGCGCCGGGATTAAAGCATGTGCCACCACACCCAGTTGATTCTGAACTTTGTTTCAGTTTGTTTGTTTGTTTATTTTTTGAGACAGGGTTTCTCTGTAGCTTTGGAGCCTGTCCTGGAACTAGCTCTTGTAGACTAGGCTGGCCTCGAATTCACAGAGATCCGCCTGCCTCTGCCTCCTGAGTGCTGGAATTAAAGACATGGGCCGCCACCACCACCAGGCTGATTCTGAACTTTTAAAAGCTGTTGGTATTTTAAATATAAAATACCTTACTATTCACTTCAAAATTTAAAGGGGTCCTAAGTTGGTGGATTTTCTCCTGGGTTCTTGACTCAAAGCCTACTACTTGACAGAAGCAGTTTGCATGAGGTGGGCATGTTCTTCTTATCCCATTGTGACTACCTCATAGCTCTCAGAATGTATCTAGCATTGAAGGCATCAGGGCCTGGGTCTCTAGGGAGATAGATGCCATTTGCAGTCTGTACATGACTTGGTTTGAATGAATCCAAGTTCAGTTCCTTCAAATCACTGACTACAGTAAAAGCAGTGTCATTATCAAATTGGTCTGTATGTTACCAGGAGTCAGCACTGGCTTCACTTAACTTTATCCCTCTGTGTGAAAGGTGGCTTTGCTCTACTGCACAGCCGGTGTAAAGCAACAACACTGAGGTAGTTTTGGAAAGGAGAGGAAATGTACCTTAGTTTTGTCAATGGAGGCTGTGGACTAACATGTAGAAGAAGAAATAGCCTGTGGGCTCTCGGGAGTCTCTTACGTTTCTTGATGAGCTTTATTTTGAAAATTAGTGGTTCTTTCTTTTTCCCCTTAATTTAGTTCCCTCACAGAAGTTGTTAGCTGGGTGTCTCTGAGATCAATCTAATCTCAGTTCTCTTGCTTGGGAAATTAGGGTTGTGCCCATATACACTGTGAGCGAGCAGGAGGTTTTCATTCTCTTCTGGTTTCTGTATCAACACTTGACTACATGCATTAGACTTACAGTGCAAGGAAACTTCATACTCTTCAAAATCACATTCTTCAAATATTATTTTAAAAGCCACACTGTACCAAACAATTCAACTTAAATTTTGAGTTCAGAATTTATTGTGTCCAAACTATTAGAAAAGGAAATAACAGCAAGGGGGAAAACCTTCTAGAAATTTTTATTGTCAGCTGATTAAAATGAAGCACTTCTTTAAAATTAGTTACAGGATTCAGGAAAATGATATTTTTGTATAGTGTCTTTTTTTTCTTCTCTTTTTTCTTTTGAATAGTGTCTTTTAATAAAATGTTCAACCCCCTCTTTGTGTTCTCTACAGTGCAAATTCTCGCTAAGTAACTGGTTTTTCAGTAAACTAACTTTGTGGCCCTTCCTCTGTGCTGTGTGCTTAGTTGAGCGAGAATGTTAGTAGAGGCAATGTGTAGCAGAAGTCCTTGCCTGGTAAGGGGCTCACTGGAGGGAGGGCCCAGTAGGGAGGGGTGTCCAATAGTTAGTGTCCTGGTGGGATGTCGTTTATGAGCCCATAATGAAATATATTTTGCCCTTTACACCCCACCCCCACCCACCCTTTCTCTGGATTCTTCTTGCTTAGTTACATATGCCTTTTTCCTACCCTCTTGCTAACATGTGCCCAATGACATACTTCTAACCTGCTAATATTTCTTGGAAGGTAAGCTCTATTGCATTCTGATAATTGTCTATTTGATTTAAATGCCAGAGCACCCAGAGGCACCTCTACCTACATTACCACTTGGCCTAGGACATTGGAGTTTTCTAGTATTTCTGCATAAAGAACTTATGGCAGATTCATTAATCAGAGACCATTGTTAACTTGGGACACTAAAACCAAAATTCTAGGGCCACTCCAGCTAAAGTTGATGTCATCTAGTATGACTCAGAAAGTACCCTCCATATTTGAATCAGGCACCAAGTGCTCTGTGAGCACTGCTTGCAGTGTGTCATCAAGTAAGCATGCATTTACTGACAGCCGCATTCTGCCTGTCAGAGGGGCTGTCTTTTTGCACATGGAGTTCCATTCATCCGTGGGCAGTGGTTCTCCATAGCCCCAGACTGTCTGACTTATGTGGAGAGGAATGACTGAACTTGTTTCCGTTTGGCTCTGAGACAGGTAGAGCAGGTGTCTGTGCCTGGCCTGCAAGTAGGAGTGTTGCCTAGTTGCCCCGAATGTCTGTGTGCCTAACATTTTCACCTTTCCTGCTCATTGTGTCTATCATGATCCAAAGTGTGAGATGGTGGTTGTGTCTTCAGTCTGTGTGCATTTACCTTGCTTGACTTTTTATTTTTCTGTTTTTACATTTTCAACATCTATCATTTGATTCCACAATGTATCTTCCTCGGTTGACCATTAAATGTTCCGGAAGGTTTTGACCCAGCCTCCACATTAATTCTAAATTTTATGCTTTTCTAGGTCTCCAGAGAGAACCCAGTCCTTGTCCTGTAATTACTGTAGAGCACTTTAAAGAACCTGTGGGTGCCAAAGGCCTCGCCCTCTATCCAGATCCCTGCAGAATTTCTGGAACAAAGACTCAGAACACCTTAGAGTCTGACTCCATGGCCCGAGAGGGCCCTTCCAGCAATAGCTCCTTCCACAGCAGCGAGGAGGAGGGCACTGACCTGGAGGGGGACATGTTGGACTGCAGCGGGTCTCGGCCTCTCCTTCTGGAGTCTGAAGAGGAGGATGAGAGCTGCAGACCTCCTCAGGGGAAGCTGGGAGAAGCCACCCTGTTCACTGAGCCTGGAGTGTCTGCTGAGCCAGAAAAGGGGGGACGAGGCGGGAAAAAGAGCCAGTTCTTGCCAGTCAACCAGCAGGCCTCAGATGGTCTCGGAGAGCCTGATGTCTTTGCCATAGCCCCCTTCAGGAGCTCACTGGTTCCAGCAGATGACGTGGACATTTTCGCCAAAGCCCCTTTTGTCTCCAAGGGCAGTATAGCTCCTTCCCAGACAGAGGAGGTGGACGTGTTCTCCAGAGCTCCTTTTACCAAGAAGAGGAGCGTGGAGGAGTTACTGGCTGTGCAGGGCTCCTCACAGGATTTGCCGGCGCAGGCCAGCCTTAGTCAGCCCAGTGAAGGGCTCCTGCTTCCAGGCCGTGATAGAGCCATGTACCCCCCTGCCCAGGTGCAGTATCCTGTGACTGGCTTTGCACAACAGGCCGGTCTCCCCTCCCACTCTGTCCAGGTGGCAGACCATTTTGACAGCAGCTCTCCCCGGGGATCTCCCCTGGAATCCGGGGGTCATCCTACTGACAGAAACAGAGGAATGCAGTCCCAGAAAGAAGCCTTCTCCGGGCCTATGGCTGGCAAGCCATTCCGCCCCCAGGCTTTATCCAAATATTCCCGACACTATAGCCCAGAAGATGAGCCAAGTCCAGAAGCTCAGCCCATCGCTGCCTACAAGATTGTTTCACAGAGCAATAAGCAGTTGCTAGCTGGCTCTGTGTCTGTCACATCTCTGTCCTCCAGGACTACAGAGCTGCCTGCCGCCGACCCTTTCTCTTTAGCTCCCTTTCCGTCAAAAGCAGGCAAACAGAAACCGTAGGCAGGAGACCAGCCTGTGGCCTTCCTCCACCTACCCCACCAACACCTATCACACCACTCCTAGCTGGCCTTTCAGGGAGTAGCCACTGTGACCTTACAGTCCCTGCCTCAGAGCAGAAGCTCTTTAGGTTACACTTCCTGCTTTTGTTTATGCTCATTTCTGGACTTGTCGGCATTGCTGTTCCTTCATATAGGCATTCCACCTGCACTCTGAACTCTGATTCTTCTCTGCCCAGACACCTTTTTAATCCAGGAATATTTTACCCCCTGTTAACGGGGGCTGTATTACACCACAGCTTTGAAGGCCAGCAGCTCCTATGGGGAGGTGCTTGGATCAAAGAGTCAAGATGAATCCCAGCACTCAACGATACTCTTGGAAGCATTTCTAGGAAGAAGAAAAAAACAGCAATATAAACCCACTGCACATCTGAAAAAGTCAGTCCTTCAGCTCCTCATTATTCACTCCTGTGGAGCCGCAGCTCTCAGAGGATTCTGGGATCTGTCACTGAGTCTATACGAGCCAAGCTGGCCTGTGTGCACAGATGTCTGGTGCATGATATGGCTCAGATTCTCTGTCATGCAGAAGAACACACAGGTGGGAAAAGCTCACTCTGCCTTCCCACAGTTCACTTTTTAGACTTTTTAGAGTGAAACCGCCATGCCTACCTCCATTATCCAATCATTTCCTTGTATTTGCCTGACTTGAACCTTGGCTTTATTTGCATTTTTTTTCTCATGGTAAAATTGAAGTTGTTGGACCATATGGGGCAATTCTGTTGAAAATGAGGTTTCAGAATGAATTTTTAAAATTCCATTTACCTGGTTTTGAAAAATCAAATATCTAAAACTGGACATGGTATCTCATGCTTGTAATCCTAGTTCTTAGGAAACTGAGACAGGAGAATTACCACAAGTTAGAGGCTAACCTGGTCTTAATACTGAATTCCTGGACACCATATCTCAATACCCTCTCCTCCCACCCAAAAAAGTCACTGGTCCTTCTGTTTTTCCTTGGCATCAGAGGAAGAGCATCTTTAGTGTTGCAGTTACTGGGAATCCTTCCTGGGTACCTTTGTTATGAAATTCATTAATCAGGACCCTAAGCCACAAACTGCGTTGCCTGATTCCTTCCCCAAACTCTCCCATACACCTCTTTTGCCTCTAGAAGTTGAAAATGAGAAAGTGCTGGTCAGCTGTCCTTGCAGATGTTTAAATTAGCTGTTCCGTTCAGATGTTAAAGTAGAACAGACAGGTGACTGGCTGTGTTTTCAGAAGTGTGTTTTTATTTCTGGAAAGCTCTGACTCATCCCTGTGTTTTCATACCATTCATTTTTAGTGCCTTAAAAGAAAGCCCGTGACTCTGCAGGGAGGTTTCTGCTGAGGAAGCAGAGTTTCATGGAGACAGCCGGCACCATACTCGGTGTGTGCTTACAACTTCTAGCATAGTTCCTCCACTTGCTCGGGGAACTCTGGAGAGTTCATCAAGCTAGATTAGTGATAGAAAAATTGCTAGGAGCTGGGCATGGGAGCAAACTCCTGTAAGCAGGAAAGGGGTACAAGGCCAGCCTAGACTACCTGAGACACTGTCCCCCAAAATAAAAGAATTACTGAAAATTTACCCAGTAATGAAGCCTAAATGCCAGGCTGCACTTGGAATCATTTAGTTGTGATGTCCTTTAAATTTGAAAGTCAGGGTCTGTACAACTTGGTGGAAGAATACATGCTTTATATGCACCATACCCTGGATTCTGTCCTCAGTACACCCAGAAATAATAGAATAAAGCCCAGGACTCTTAGCAGTTAACATAAGAATGGTTACTTTTTGCCTGGTGTGGTGGCAGGCACCTTAACCCCAGAACTTGTGAGGCAGAGACAGGTGGATCTCTGTGAATTTGAGGTCAGCCTTGTCTACATATTAAGATTCAGGCCAGCCAGTGAGCGAAAGCTTGTCTTAAGAGGGTGAAAGGGAACTTTTGTTAGTACTTCTTTTTTTGGTATTCTCCACCTGTTTAAATAACAGGCAGTGTGTCAGGGTCCCCACCCCCACCAGAAACCTGCCTTACACTTCAGTAAAGCCTAACTATTCTCTCTAGGAATTTGCTTTCTCAGTTAATATTTTTGAATGTTTTGAATACTAGTGGATACAAACTGGTCTTTCTGTTAAATGAGTAGTTTGGGAATATACACAGAATTTTGCAACCAATCTTCCCACACTTGTTTTAAGGAGAAGTCCTCAAAGGCATGTGTAAATGGGATGGGACTGTTTAGACAGGGTCCTCACTTGATGTCGCAAGCTCTTTCCAGGTTGCAGCATAGACCTGTAGACCCAGCTGCTTAGAAGGCTGAGACAGGACAGCCTGAGCCTAGCAGCTCAAGGCCAGCTTTGGCAACATACAAGGACCCATCTCATGAATAGAAATTTCAGAATGCAAGGTCAGCATCAGCTTCGTAACTGTGCTGCAGACTGTTCTAACTTTGATTACTGGATCACTCCATCTAATCATATAGTCATTTTAATTCACAAGGTCCAAATTAGAATAAAATCATGCACTCCTTATTTTATATAGTTGAATCGTTTGTGAAGTGTGAGCTTGAGGCCTTTTTCATCTACTGAGTAGGAAGTCTACCTGTCGTCTTTTCCTCGGGAGTGAGTGTGACCACATGCAGCTTGTCTTTTCCTCTGTGGCACTTTGCGAAGGACATCTGACAAGAGACTAGCCAACTCGTGAGTTCTGAAGGAAGAGTCTGGATTACAGGATCAGTGTGCAATTGAATGATCAGGTGTCCTGGTGGGATGCCATCCTGAGTGGAAATCTGGAAAGTTTGTTTCACAGGGAATTAGGAGTGCGTAAAGTCTATGAATCAGTTGTAAATTGCCAGTGACCATACTCTAAAAGTTTAATAATAAGGAAGAGGAACAGTATCAATGAAGTACTGTACTTTGTTTTAATTTCCGCTGTGTGTTCGTCGCTTTGTATATTTCATAGGAAACACAGAAAATTGTGAACTCTTGACTCAGTAGAAAGAGATGAGTCAGAATATCTTTAGCTAAAGCCTTAAGCCGCATCATGCACTAAGGAACTCCTGAATGATGTGGTAGACCGAGGACATAGCTCAGAGGTGGAGCCTGGCACAGTGAGCCTCTGGGTTCCTCCCTGTCAGCTGACTATTGAACACTGTTAACTGAGCTAACTTATGTGTCATGGAAAATGGCTCACTAATTTCTTAGGCTTACAATACAGCTCTTTAGCGCCAAACCCATGGTTTAGCGCCAAAAATAAATAAATAAATAAATAAAAAGATAAGAAGTGAACATCTGTGGCAGGCACACCTATGATCTCAATACTTGGGAGACCGAGGCAAAACAATTGTGTGTTCAAATCAAGACCAGCCTGAGCAGCTTAGCAGGACGTTAATATTGAAATTTAAAGAGAGCTGGTTTTGTATTTAAGTGGTAGAATGCTTACCTAGCATGTGCAACCACTGCATTTACTCCAGTACCAGGAGACAAGAGAGAGCACACAAATTGTTCATCATGTGATGGCGAACAGTCTAGCCATGGAAGTGAGGAAAGTTAGTTCTGAAAGCAAATTTTAGTTCATACAGGTTGTTTTGTCTTGGCTCACTGGTAGGGTTGAAGACCTATGTACTGGTGCAGGCCCCAGTGTGTGTGTGTGTGTCTGTCTGTCTGTCTGTCTGTCTGTCTGTGTGTCTGTGCGTGCACACACGTGCTAACCGAACCGTCTTCTACTCACTAACCCATGTTGTATCTCAATTTCATCTGGTAACTGAGATCTTCTAAACATTCAACAGAATGCTGTCTTTCTGGCCTGTTGTATATTTATTAAGTGTTGGGCCATGTGCTTGTTGTCAGTGTTTTCAGCCACTCTTCACTGGTGCATAAAGTATTAGAGTGATCTGATGATAAGAAATTCTGTATTTTTATTCTGTAAATGAAAACAATCAGAACATGTATCAGATTGTGAGAAATGTATGCATTACTTCAAATAGGAAACTTAAGAGGAGGAAATGCAGTGCTCTCTCCAACAGGACCGGGCAGCTTCCAGTGGAGTCCATCTGGGTCCCTCAAATGTAAAGAGATGTTGCTCCCTGCTGTGTCTTTTGCATTCAACCTTTAGAATACATAGCAGTCAACTCCCAGACAGCTGCTGGTTACAGCATTTTTTTTTTAAATCAGAATCAAACGTTCTGATGGGTAGTGTGCAGGAGTCCAGCGGAAGAAGGCGGGAGCATCTCGACACTTTCCATGGCCACCCTGTTTCCAAGCCTTCCACTAAAAGATTAAACACTGGGGGTTGTAAGTGAAATCATGTCATTTGAGTGATAACCTTTGTCAATCAATATTTGTTTTGCTCTAACCACCAGAACACTTGAAAACCTAATAAAATATCACTAAAGAAAAAGTTTCAAAATGCTTAAGAATAAAAAGTAGTGTCTGGTTGTAAATTGTTTCTGTTCTGTTCCCAGAGGTCTTTGTGCTCCCCACTCCCCATTTCTACTCTCCCTTAATTTTCTCCCTCAGCTTTCTCCTATTTGACCCGACTGAGTGGGTCGTGACCTGTCACACTAACTTGCGGTGGCTACTCTAAAATCTCATTTTAGGATTCAGGCCAGCCTTGACAATCTAACAGTGAAATGGTTCACCTTCCCCTAGAATCAAGGACAGAGGAAGGTTGGCAGGACCCAGTTTTCCTCTTTGGAGATGTAGCCCAGAGGGCGCTCTGCCCCCTGATCCTACATAGCTCTAGAATGAGTACATATGTGAGCGGACTCTAGAAGAGCAAAAATAGCTAAGTGCTGATCATGGGGGCACATGCCTGTAATGAGGCAGGAGGTTCACTGTGAATTCGAGGCCTGCTTGGGCTACATAGCAAGACTTTGTCTCAAAACATACACAAAGGCTAAATATTAACTACATGTGGCTTGTTACCTACAAAGTTTCTGTAACTTGTAATTCCATTAGTTTTGTCAGCTATAGTTTAGCAACCTCAACCTCTGGCCTAGGCAAGTGTTACACAGCTCTGAGTTGATGGTAAACATTACTTGTGCTGCCTTGTGGTGGAACCATGTATATATACACAAAGGGGATCAGATTCCCTTTGGCAAGGAATTTCAGAATGGTTTTTTCAGCGTCAGTCAAAAATAGGTCATGGTTGGCTGATACCACATGCTTAAACTGCAAGGACCCATGTCCAGTCTCCAGCACTTTGACTCTGAGGTAATGGGAGACAGTAGAATATTTTCCTTTGGAAACGGTGTGCCTGCTGTGTTCTGCAAATCTACCAAAGATGGTGTGAAGGGTTTCTCAGTGTCTGTGTGCGCAGACCTGCATCCTCCTGCTTCCTTCGTGGGGTTAACTCTAGCCCTTCAGTTCATTATCTGAAGAGGGCTGGGGAGGGACCACAGGCAGCTGGCACCACAAATCAGTTCCCTCCGCCAGACCTCCAAATTTAGCATTGGAGTTGTTTGCATCTGTGGTAAGGGAGTTGACTAGCCACTGCTTGAGCATTCTTCCCAAGGAAGCGCCTTCTTGTGGGTGGCACTGGGAGGACAGTGGTGACCTGCACCGCAGGGCCTGAAGATGTTATTTTGAATGGAACATTTGATGTCATTTTTAGGGAACAGAAACCAAATAACAGAGGCCAAGGACCATGCCTATTTCGAGGAGGGAAGGTGAGCACCCTCTGCTGGCAGTATTTGGAGTTGCTTGAGTGAGGATCTGTAAGCAGCCTGGACGGAGTACTGAGGTCAGCAGGTCTCAGGCATTCTCACCTTGCAAACAATCTTGGGGAAACCAGAAGGTCATTCCCAGCAGTTTTTGTAATGCCTGTCATTGCAGGCTGTTGGATTTATGTTGTTCTCTCTGGGTGTGATCTATGATGTATCTGATAGTCTTTATGGATAATTGTTTGGGTTGTAAACTCCTATACTCTTTATTAAAATGAGCTTAATTAAGTGACTAAGTGGTGTGTTTTTTCTTAAGTGGGATCTTCCATGGATGAAAGGGCCCTAGGCACTTTTCATCAGCAAAGCCTGGGATAGATTCTGATATTTCTGAACGGACACCAGTATTGGTACAGAGAAACTGACAGGAAATGAACCTAAGCAATTCCAAGCTCCCTGTCATGAGAGAGAACCTGTCTGCCTGTTTCCAACTGTGAAGAAAACGGTCAGAGTGATATCTGAACTTTCCTGAGCTGACTTAACAGGAGTCAAGAACTGGCGATATGCCGTGTCCAGAAATTGTGTCGACAATCCAGGGCCCCAGAGTTCTAGTATCGTACACGAGTGAAGCCAAAGTTGCCCACATTTTCTGAGAACTTATCATCTAAATATAAACCTCCACCTGCTTCTGTGATTTCTTTGATCTTGTTATGTAACCATGACTGGTCTGGAACTTACTATGTAGACCAGGCTAGCCACAGACTCACAGAGACCTGCCTGCTTCTGCCTCCTGAATGCAGGGATTAAAGCCATGTGCCAGCACACCTGGCTAGTTTTATGATTTAAAGTTCTTAAGTGTTGCCTAGAGGCGGCGGCAACACACGCTTTTAACCCCAGCACTTGGGAGGCAGAGGCAGGTGAATCTCTATGAGTCAAGTCCAACCTAGTCTACAGAGCGAATTCCAAGACAGGGCAACACAGAAAAACCTTGTCTTAAGAAAGCAACCAAACAAAACCCTTCACTGTTTTGTGTTTTAAGGTTGCAGCAGCCGCCGCCAAAGCTGCTTTATTTATTTTCTAAGACTGCAGGTGCTCTTGGGGAAGACAGACGCCCACTGAGCTACCTGCCAAGGTGTGGGACAGGAGTCCCATTGAGAGGAGCCAGGTAAATGCCACTAGCAGATGGCTGAAACCTGTGACTCTAGACTCTTGCCTTTCCTTGTGGTTTTCCTTCAGTTCACCTCATCAGCTGGAGTTGGAGCACGTGGTGGAAGGAGAGGAAGTATCTCCTCGACGTGCTCTCATATCGGCTGAGCCCAGGGCAGTCCACAGTCTCTAGTGGCTCAGTAGAAGTCAGAGCTGGTGGAATCCCACTTCTACCTTGACAAAATTTAAATACAAATTTTGACTTGGGATATTTGACTATTAGGTATAGGGAGTACATTCAGGGCGTCGTGGTGCAAGCCTTTAATCCCAGCACTGGGGAGGCAGAGGCAGGAAGATCCCTGAGTTCGAGGCCAGCCTGGTCTACAAATCAATTTCCAGCACAGCGAAGGCTACACAGCCTCAAAAAGCCAAAAACTAAACAAAAGCATAGAGAGTATAAAAGCACAGTGGAAGAAAGTAGTACTAAAACAAAATATTTTTAAGACAGAATCTCACCCTGCTTGGCCTCAAATTCATGGGTGACCCTCCTGCCTCAGCCTCCTTTGTGCTGAGATTAGGAATGTGGCCTCACGTCATCTGTAAAATTTGTAATGAACCAAAAGTTGACTAATAAGTCACCATTGTATGTAGGAAAGAATATGCCTCAAAGAAAACGATGATGATAGCCAAACATGCATTCTATGGGCAAGAGTTTAAGATTTCAATTGGCTTAATGGAATTGCTTCATAGTTTACCCACATATTAGTGTCCTAATCCTTAAAACCTGAGGATGTGGGGCTGGATGGGAGGTGGGGAGAACTGGGAGAAGTAGAGGGAGGGGAAACTGCCATCAAGATATGTGGGAAGGAAAAAAAAATCTATTTTCCATAAAGGGGGGGTGGGGATAAAACAGCCTGCTTTGACTTACCCGCAGCACCGCCCTCCACCTGTAGGGGGCACGCTTCCCGTGACTGCCCTCTCCCCGAGGTCTGAGTCTGCAGAGGACTTAGACTAAGGAGGCGTGTCCGCGCAAGCGCACCGGCACTGAAACGATGGCGGCGGCCGAGCGGGCGTGGGGAGCTGTAGCTGGTGTAGCCCGGCTGTGCAGGCGGTAGGTGTGGGCGCCCCTGCCAGCAGTCGCCGCCCTGACACTGGGAGGGGACTGGTGTCTAACGGAGTCTTGTCCTGGCTCCAGAGCCCGAGGCCCGGCCACCCTCTACGGGCGTCCCGTCCCGTTGTCAACCCCGTAGGGATGTGGCTCCAAAGGGAAGATCATTCCCGGGGTCGTTCCCGTCCCTTTCCGGGAAAGCACTTTCAAGGGCACGGCTCGGAGGCAAGCGACTCGAGGGAACCTACCGCCTAGGCCTAGGCCTGCCGTGTCCTGTTGCACTTCAGAGCCACCCTGATGTCTTCCTCAGACATCTGCCAGACCCGTGTGATTCCTGTAGGAAAGGGCCTAACAGAATGCTGGTGGTTACCTTGAAGTTTCAAATGCATTTCATGAGCCCGGTTTGTAGCTCACCTCTGTGCCGTCATCTCAGCACTTGAGAGGTGAAAGCAGGAAGGAGTTCAAGACTAGCTTGGACTATATGAGACCACTGTTTTAAAACTCCTAATACATCTTATAAAAATAGCAGATTAACAGAGGGTTTCGTGGGTTGCCCACTTCTCCCCTGTTTTCGATAACTTTTCTTGAGTACTTTGCTCCGGGTCTCTTAGAATGCAGACCTTCCTGCCAGAGTACCCTTCTGATTTCTCCACTCTGCTGCGGCTTTTCCCCAGGGTTGACGGAACAGTAACCCTGAGATGCCAGGATGTTTCCAAATCCTGAATATTCACTTAATGAGCAGTTACCGGTTGCTACGTAGTGATAACAGCTGCCATTTAGTGAACACTTAGCCTGGTATGTCCATGGACTGATAGGGGTCCCTTAGGGAGAATGATCTACCATGCTCCGTATGCCTTTTGTTTAGAGTGCATTTATTAAGTATACAGCAAACTAGCATAAGCAGCAAGCGGCAGAATGTTGAGAGCCCCAGATCAGACACGCCATTCAGCAGAGCAGACGCCATTCAGCAGAGCTGACGCCATTCAGCAGAGCTGACGCCATTCAGCAGAGCAGACGGGAAGCCCCGGGAACAGGACAGAGGAGGTCCAAGGCAGAGTATCTTCTCCTGGGTATGACTTTTAACTGGCCATTTCTATCATAGGCATCTTTATCTCATGTGGTTAATCAGTAGCTGAGTCTTGTAAGGGGAGCTGCCTGGGAATGATTGGCTTCCCAGCTCTGCTCAAGGGACACTGTTTTCACCCCTCCCATTTACTCTCCTGGTCTCAGGAGCACCATGGTTTTACTCTTCTGTTCTTTGCCCAACAGGGAGTCTTGGAGGACAATTTGAAGCAAACACTTAAGGCAGTGGATCCCTGGTTCGCAAAGCTAATTCCTAGCAGCCAGGGCTACACAGTGAGACCCTGTCTCAAAGTTTAAAAAAAAAAAAAAAAAAAAACACTTAAGGCAGTGGATCCCTGGTTCGCAAAGCTAATTCCTAGCAGCCAGGGCTACACAGTGAGACCCTGTCTCAAAGTTTAAAAAAAAAAAAAAACTGATTCAGAAGTCAGAGCTGGAAAATTTTTCACTACTAAAATGTCCTTTTTTTTTCCTTCTCCAGCTGTAGTTACTTTCAAAGCTCCCTTTGTTTTTACTTTAATGACGCCTTGAAAATACTCAGTCAATGCTTCTCTATCAGAGGGAAAGGAAGTTCCACCACTCATGTCTGTGATTCCAGAACCAGGGAAGCAGAGGCAAGAGTTTGGTGGCGCGCGCCTTTAATCCCAGCACTCAGGAGGCAGAGGCAGGCGGATCTCTGAGAGTTCGAGACCAGCCTGGTCTACAGAGCTAGTTCCAGGACAGGCTCCAAAGCCACAGAGAAACCCTGTCTCAAAAGAAAAAAAAAAGTCTATGTGAAAGTTTAGAATTTTTTTTTTTAATAAAAACATGACATTTGAGTAAACATCCCTCTAGGGGAAGCAGGACTTGTGTATCAGGGGAAAAGCTTTCTAAAGACAGTCTATGGGGAGCCTAACTGTTTAGCCCTTCAGTCCAAAAAACAGATGACACCCAGTGTGTCCGAGACAGAGAGCTCAGGGAAGAGTCTTGGAAGTTGAGGACTGGTTACTGGTCAAGCTTTTGAAGTCCATCACTTGGAAATCTGCCTTTTTTTTTTTTTTTAAAGTAAGATGGAGTACGTTAGGAGCAGACAAATGAGTCGATTTGAATTAGCGTCATCTAGGACCATTCCTTGTNTACCACAGAAGTCCGTGGAGCCACCTGGCTTCACCGTGATACCCTGTTTCCCAACAACAGCAAAACAGAGTCGACTCCTTACCGTGTCATTCATTGTTTTTAAATATAGGTTCTGTCATGTGGTGACTCCACACACCTTCAAGAAACAACCTCTGCACCAGTATGTACGAAGACCGCTTTTCCCGATGCGTGCACCCTTGTCTCACACAGGTACAGTTTCACCTCTTCTGAGGACATTGTGTGGTGGAACCAGTGGAACAGTGCTAGAGTTAGCGCTCAGAAGAGACAAAATTTTAAAGGTTTCTTCAAAAGTTTTTATTACATTTCTTTGTATGTGTGAGAGTGTGCCACAATGCATGTGTGGAGGTCAGAGGACAATGTGAGTTAGGTCTCTCCCTGTGGGTTCTGGGGATTGAGTGCAGGCCTTTAGTGGCAAGCTCCTTTACCTCCTGTGCCATCTCAGCAGCCCAGGAACTTGTCCATCTTGTGTTCAGAGGCACATAAAAAGGCTCCAGCGAGTTTCTGTCCACTCCCCTCCATGCTAAAGCCGTCCTTTACTGTGATTCGTCAGAGGACGTTATCTGTAGACTGGTGAAATCTCTAAGTCTTATGAGCACATTTTGAGAACATGAGTTGCTCAGTAAATGATTTCTTAAAGGAAATATTATAAAAAGAAGTTACAAGTGGATTTGTGTTTGAGAGAATCGTGTAGGAATAGCTGTAAATTCCTGGCTTTTCTCCAAACTTCCTAGCATCTGATTGTGAAGTAGTTTGAAATATGAGCCCTGTACTGTAATTGGGGAAGCTTGGAGAGGGGTGGCTGTGCGTGGCTTGACGTCATGGAT